TCGACATATACTTCCATATTTCGACCTTTCTGGTGATGGAAGACGGCATTGACCAACCGTTGGTAGGTGGCCCCAGCGCTCTTCAATCCGAATGGCATTACTCGGTAATGGTAGGTACCTTGGTCGATAATGAAGGATATATGTTCCCGATCGGATGGGTGCATCAGGATTTGGTTGTAACCAGAGAAAGCATCCATGAAGCTGAGCATTTGATGACCGGCCGTGGCGTCGACCAGCAGATCTATGCGGGGAAAAGGATAGCTGTCTTTGGGGCAAGCTCAGTTCAGGTCAGAGTAATCGACACAGAGTCGCCATTTGCCATTGTTCTTGCGGACTAGGACCACGTTTGACAACCATTTAGGGTAGTCGATGTTTTTGATGAATTGGGCCTCAAAGAGCTTGTCGACCTCTGCGGCTATAAGAGTATTGCGCTCCGGATGAAAGATGCACTGTTTCTGGCGGTAAGGTCGGAAATGAGGTTCAATACTGAGGCGATGAGTTATGAAAAAAGGGTCAATGCCTGGCATATCTGAATGAGTCCAGGCGAATACATCATTGTGCTCGGTCAGAAGGGCAGTAAGGTCGGCCTTAGCTTAGGGGGATAGTTGGCTGCCGATCTTGGCAGTCTTCATGGGATTGGCGGGATCGATGGGAACCTCAACGAGCTCCTCAACCGGTTCTCCTCTAACTAGCTCGTCCTTATCTCGGACGTCAAGTCCTTCAATGATCATGGCCTCCTTCAGCTTGACTTCCTTGAGTGAGGCGACATAACATTCCCTGGCTATAGTCTGCTCTCCCCTTACCGTCCCGACACCCAAGTCGGTTGGGAACTTTATGGCGAGGTGGTAGGTTGGAGTGATAGCTTAGAAAGCGTTGAGGGCGGTGCGGCCAAGGATGATATTGTAGGCAGAGGAACAGTCGACCACAAGGAAAGTGACCAACTTGGTAGTCTGCCGTGGGTATTCGCCGATAGTGAGGGGGAGATTGATGGAGCCGATGGAGGTCACCCGATCGCCAGCGAAACCGACCAAAGGGGTTTGGAGGAGAGACATGCTTTCCTCCCTAATCTTGAGCTGGCGGAAACAGTTGAGGAATATGATGTCTGAAGAACTGCTGTTGTCGATGAGGACCCGTCTGACCTTATAGTTGAAGAGGAGGGCAGAAATGACGAGTGGGTCATCATGAGGATAACGGATACCTGTACAGTCGGCGTCCGTGAAGGTGATGGGCTCTGTCCACTACTTGGGCTGTTTGGAGGGTCGGTCTACCGTGGCAACTGCTCTGTCTGAGCCTTGCCTTATCTTCCTGAGTTCCGCCCTCTGAGCGGAGCGGGACAGTCCGCCACAAGCAAGGCCACCTGAAATGACTCGGATTTCACCAACTGGCGGAAGGGGATTACCTGGGGGCCGAGGCTGTTATGGGGGACGATCATGGCCTTGGTTAGGTGGGGCTGGCTGCCGGGGTGGGGTACGCCGGCGGTTGTCTCTGAGGGGCTCGGTTCTTTTCCTCTGCTGTGAGTGGGTGTCCGTGAACCGGCTAAGACGCCCTTGACGAATGAGGGTCTCGACCTGATCCTTGAGGTTGATGTAATCATCGGTGCTGTGGCCATGGTCCTGGTGGAAATGATAATATTTGGACTGGTCTTTCCGGTTGGAAGGGATCCGTGAGGGTAGGGGCCATTTGAAGGGGTAGTCCCGTTGGATCTGGTGGAGGACTTGTTCCATGGGAGAATTAAGGGGCGTGTACCGCTCGAACCGACCGGTTGGTCGAGCTGGTGCCGACCGGTCAGCTCGAGGAGGTCGGTCGGTATAGTGGGGTGTTTGGCTGTTATACTAGGTGCTTCTAGGTTCTGAGTCTTTTCTCTTTTCTCTGGGAGTCGGGTTTTTAGCTATTGGATCCTACCGAGCGGCTAGTGAATCTTCGACATTCATGTATTTCTGGGCTTTAGAGAGTAGGGCGGCCATGAAGGTCGGGGGGTTTTTGGAGAGGGAGAAGAGGAAATCGGACGATCGTAGCCCGACCATGAAAGTCGTGAGGATGACCTTGTCATCGTTTTCCGTTACCTGCAGGGCTTCGGTGTTGAAGCGGGTAACGAAACTGCGTAGCGACTCCCCCTCAGTTTGGCGGATGTTGAGGAGTTGGGTTGCAGGGCGACGTTGGCGCTGGGCTCCAATGAAATGGCTAAGGAAGGAGTCGCTGAGATGTTGGAAAGTGAAGACAGAGTCTGCTGGTAACTGGTTGAACCACAGTCGAGCTGACCCCTTCAGTGTCACGGGGAAAGCCTGACACATGATCTCGTCAGGGAAGGCATGGAGGATCATGGGGGTATGGTAGGTCTCCAGATGGTCGACTGGGTCCGTCGTACCGTCAAAAGAGTCAATGGTGGGCATCTTGAACTTGGCGGGCAAAGGTTTGTCCCGGATGAAGGTAACAAATTGTGAGTATGCCGTGGTAGAGGGTTTATGCTGAATGTTCTGCATGACCCCTTGGAGCTGGGGTTTCATTGCTCGGAGTCCAGCGTCCCAGAGGGGAATGTGGTCACCATGGTCAGTCAATGGGGGCTGGACGCTGCTGGCCTCCCCTTCAGGGGCTGGTGCCACGACCGAAGGGTGTCGGGGTGGAGGTGGTAGATTTACATACGGGGGGGAGAGGTTGCAAACCTTCCAAGTTGGGTGGATAGGGTTGCGGAACGGTATGGCTCGGGGCTCTTTCTTGGTTGGGTGAAATATCTGGAGGTGGTGGAGGAGGCATCGGAGGGTTTCTTTGGAGTAAAGCATTTATCAGGGCCTGGTTTTGTTCGGCCATGCGGTTAATGTTGTTGGTAAGCTCAATGATATACTGTGGTGGGTTGTTTGGATTGGGAGGGTCGGTTTGATTGTCGGCTGCATTATGGTGAGAAGCCATGGATTTAGTCGTGACCATACACTTAGATGGGTAGGATGAAAAGGTTGGTAGGACAGGGTCTCTGGCGACAATGAGCACAACTGGCATCCGGATAAGAACCAGTTCCCACAGACGGCGCCAACTGATAATACAATTTGCTCCAGTGAATGGATCAAACTGGTCCAAGCTCCTCGAGCCCAAGTCCAAATGAGCAAGCCCACCGGATAACCGGCAAACAAGTTCAATGGGGAACGGGGTAGTCCCCTAGTGAACCCTCCGACGAGCAAGTTAGGAAGAGAAGTGGAGTATAGAGGGAGAGATTAGAGATAGAAAGTTTAACCTTCTTTCTTGTCTTCAACGTTTGCTTATATCCTTTAGTAATCATTTCGCTATCCCTTCCGACCTGCCCTCCTCGCCGAAAGCCTATGCTGTAGCTTACCTTGTTCAGGGTAAGGGGGTCCTGTTCCGACGGAGAGGTGTTGTCGTAATAAATGCTGTGATGGGCTGCATTAATGTTGATGTGCAGTGGCAATAACTTTGCAGATCTTTGTCTGTTGATGTGGCTCGTCCTTCTCTTGCCGTGTGTCTGAATGTCATTGGCTCTTTATGCCATGTTGAACTCCAGCTGTCTTGAACCTCACCAGCTGGGTTATGCATTGGGCTCCAAGTGATGGGCTTGGATTGTCCATAGGTGGTTCGTGACCTTTATAGGCTTATACACGTCAGTAACAAAAATTTGTTATATTTTGTTACGATCGTAATCAAATCGTAAAATATATTTTAATTTTGTTATGAAATTGTAACCAAACACATAACAAAAAAATTAAAATATTTAAAAATATATTTATAAAATAAAATAAAATATTTATAATAAAATTATGTATTTAAAATAAAAAAATACAACACATAAATATTTATTTATTTATTTTAATGTGCATTATATTTCATACATTTATGTGTTATATTTTTTTAACATTTTAAATATTAAAAAATATTAAAAAATATATTTTTTATTTTAAATATAATTTTTATTATAAATATTAGTTAACCAAACAAATGTTTTACTTTTTTTTGATAAAAAAAATTACATAATAAATATATAAAATATAGAGTATGTGGAAGGAGAAAAAAAAAATTGAATTGAATTTGGGAAAAACAAGAGTTTGGAGATGCGAGAATTGAACCCTGTACCTCTCCCATGAAAAGTAACACACTATCATTTGAATTATCTCCTTACTTGCCTTAGATTTTAGTTACAAAAAAGTTTTATTTAAAAGCGTGGTTTCTAACCACGTTTTTTTGTTTATAACCACGCTTTCTTAATTTTCTTATTTTTTTAATTAACCACACTTTTATGATTTTATCAATTTTTCACAACTAGACCAGAAATATGATAAAAACGTAATTTGTAATAACGTTTTAGTTTATTTTAAAAATTTCGTCCAAATTAAACCTATAAGTTACTATTTTACCTTATTTTGGAAAAAGCCCCCTCCAACATAACTCAAGTGAAATATTGCTTAGAGCATCTCCAACGGTGACTCAAATTTTTCATCAAATTTGAATAAAAAATGACCCATTTCACTAAATTGATACCACTCGCTCCAACGGTTCACCTTTCACCAAATCTATCCCGAGACAACCGGGTGGTCGACCGGTTAGGCAATTTTTTTTTTTTTTTTTTTTTTTTTTGCGAATTGTCTGAACTTTTTTTTGAGCTTTCTGAACTTTTTCGGGACGACCGGGGTGGTCGACCGGTCGGTTGACCGGTTAGGCAAATTTATTTATTTATTTATTTATTTTTTAACGGTTTGAACTTTTTTTCCTGAACTGTTTGAATCTTTTACTGGTTGACCAGTGTACCTCTTTCAACGGTTAGTAACAGTGATTTGGTAAAATCTATGTCTCGTTCTCAGTTTGATACATTTTTTACTAAAATCTCATTTTGATATCAATCTAGTGCAACAATTGAAACTTAAAAAAATAAATTTTTTATCAAAATTTAAATTTAATGCTGAATTTAGTTCACCGTTAGAGGTGGTCTTAGAAGACCAACCGATAACTTCTCCAAAAGCCACCGACCAAAAGTCTTTATATACAAAAGTCCAAAGACCGAACAATTGTAGATATGGGTTCTTAAACATTTAACCCAAACATACATCATAAGCAATCTTCCAAAACTTTCTTTGCTTCGACGAAACTCAGAGCAGTTGTTCAGATATGAAACTCGCGCCGTACCTCGCCTCCTTCTTCTTGTTGATGTTAACGCTCTCAGACTCAGAAGCCTCCGTAACATCATCTCGGATCCTCAACAGCCTCACCAGCAGTAGCAGCAATTACTTGACCAATCAGGAACTCTGGTTCAATCAGAATCTTGATCACTTCTCTCCATATGTACTCTCTCCTCTCTTTCTCTCTCTGTCTATGCATTTGATCTCAAAGTCTGTGTATAATTGTTGAGAATGAACTAATAAACCCTAAAAGCACCAATTTGGGGATTAATTGCATGCCTATGGCTTGGATTTTCTGCAAATTGATCTCATATTTCTGTGCTTTTTTAATTTTGTTTATCTAACTTTTGAGGTGTATACACTTTGCCCCCTTATGTTTGACTCATTTCCCACTTTACTTTTTGCCATGTTTCAAGTTTATCACAATTTATTCTTAAAACCAAGTCTTGTTAAAAATTAGACAAAAAACAACTCATTGACACTCAAGTGATATAAAAATATTTTATTATATATAATTCGTACATCTAACGTAAACTCAATTTTTAATATAATAATATATTTTTTATACTATGCGACAATTATCGTGGTATTTTTTATTTAATTTTGAATACAATTAACTGTAGGAGTAAATTTGGAAAAATTGAGACATGAAGGCGAAAGTGGGAAAAAAAAACTTTTAAGGGGCAAAGTGTAATTTATTTATATATTGAGTATTGATATATTGTTTTTTTTTTTTTTTTGGCTTATTGCAATAGGTAGCTACTCTGTTTGAAATTTTAAAACATTGTAGCAATATGAAGTTGTCTATCTATCAACTATTTTCATTAGATTTTAGAGAATATAGAATTGTCGATCGGGTTATAGTCACTAAGCTAATTGTCAACTAATGAAAAAAGGGAATTTTTTTGTTTATTACTAAGAGCATCTCTTACCATTCACTACTTTTTTCAAATAATTTGATTCCAAACTTGAGTAAAAAGCTTGATTTGAGAAAGTTTTTTTTTGGTTCCAGCATATTCAAACGGAAGTAATGATTACACTGAGGGACTGTAGTAGCATAATAAATCTCGTAGTAATTAGTCCCCTTTGTCTCTGTTAGAGATAGGAAAATGTACTAGTGCCAGATGTTCATACACTGTTCTTAATGAAGACGTTGCTTCACCTTCTTGCATACATATCGTAAAGAACTACTCATGACTCTCATGAGTATGATATTAAACTTCTCTTTTACGCTGTGTTTGGTTAGGAGATTTGGGAAGAGATTTGAAAAGGGAAAGGTATAGGAGATTTGGGAAGAGATTTGAAAAGGGAAAGGTAAAAGGAAAGGGAAAGGTAAGTGAAATGTGAATATACCTACATTTCATTTAATTTCACATATTTTTTTTCTTTTTCCTTTCTAAATTTCTTCCCAAATCCCTCAACCAAACATAGCATTAAGAGGTAAGAGGAAAATAAAATGGTAGCTTTTTCTTTGCACTTATGTTTTTGATTCAGTTAATTTGGATCAGATTAACCTTCTTCTCAGAAGAAAAATACGACGTGGATATTGTTAATTTTTGGAAGGCTATTGTTTATTCTTAGCTGACTTCCATAAAGTTCATACTGCTCATTGTAATCATTCTTCTGTTGCACTGGCTTTTGCAGGATCATCGTCAATTTCCACAACGTTACTATGAATTCCTTGACCACTTTCTGCCTCCTAAAGGACCAATCTTTTTGAAAATATGTGGTGAAGGTCCATGCAATGGCATACCCAATGACTATGTCAGCGTAAGTTCTAATTAATTCACTGAAGAATGATACAATCTAAAACCTTAAAGACGTGTTCTTGTTTGGTATCATTTTCAAAATTTTCATTTTTGCCTTATTTTGTTTTTTGGAAATAAAAACATTGAAAAGTTTGGAACCCACACCCCCCCCTCCTTCTTTTTTCTGAAAATTCAGAAAATAATTTTAAAAAACATTTTGGCAAACAAGCTTTCCATATCAATTCCTTTTTTTTTTTTCCTTTTCTTTTATGTTTTTGAGAACAGAAATAGAAAATAGAAACATTACCAAACGATGAAATCTTTGCTCAACTCTTACTTGACAACTATAATGGTCTGATGAAAAGGGGTCAACTAATTGGTTAGTTGTCAATTTGGTTTGCCAAAAGTGTTGTTCAGCTACTCCTGGAACATGCACCTCTGCTTTCTCAGTATCTCACTCACTTCAGGAATAGTCTCAAGTGCAAGGTTTTAAAAAGTGACCGCAACCGTTACGTAACGTCGTTACGTAACGATTGTGGTGGTTACCACCACCCGTTACGGTCGCTTTTGCAGTGTAATTGAAATTCACAGTTGTGTCAGTCGTAGCGGTCGTAACGGTACCGTAACAACTTACGTAACGGTTCTAAACTGCTTCTATCGAAAAACAACACAAAAAAAAGAAGTTGAAAATAGGAGAAGAGGAATAGAGAAAGAAGAGGGAAGATGGAGGGGCAAGAGAGAAGATGAAGAGCATGTTATTGATTTGTTAAAACTGTAAGACCTATGCTATTCTAGTCAGTTGCTCTCACTCAACCATTTTGTTTGTGTGTCTATCTATATATTGTTTGATAATAATAATAATAATAATAATAAGTGTGGTCATTATCTATTTGGTTTGATTAAAATATATATATATATATATTTAGGTTCTTATTTATTCTGTTACTTTTGTCAGTTTTTATCTTATACATAATAGTTGATGATTGATTTTTTTGTAGAATATCTAAAAAAACATAATACCTATAATTATATATTAATACATATTTTATGCATGCCAATTTTTTTTTGATTATTTTATTTTATTTTTATTTACAGGTTGTCCAAAAAGAGAATGAATATTCAGGCCAAGTTTGGGAAGACTAAATAAGTGCACTTTTTGACTTTTTATGAAATATGGGTTGGGTTTGGGTTGGGTTTGAAGTAATGTGTTAGAGAGGTGATGTGACTTAAATAAGATGATGTGACTTAAATAGAATAACTATTTTTTGACTTTTTTAAATTATAACAAACAAGATGTTATTTTTTAACGGAAGACAAGTATTTTTTCGTTTTAATTAAAAGACAATGTACTTTTCTTTATTTTTTTTTTAATGACAGACGGCTTTCAGGCGCGTCACAGACACGCTCCAATGAAGACAATACATCTAAGTATAATAATTTTTTTTTTTTTTTGTTGCCACAAGCGTAATATGGATTTATGACATATAAAGTTATTAATTATTAAAATAAAATGTAAAAAACTTAATTTTTAGTTATTTAAAAATATGAAATATATTGGATCATACTTAAAAATTTACAAAAATTGATCAATATTTATTTTAAAACCCAATAAATATGATTATGGAAAAAAAAAATATGTATCGGTAAGTTTTTTTCAAATTGTGCAAAAAATAAAAAAATTCACGGTTTCGGTTACCGCAACCGTTACGCTACGACTTTTACATCCTGCAACCGCAACACCACCGCCACCGTTACGGCGACCGCAACCGCTTTTCAGAACCTTGCTCAAGTGTTTGGAGAATGGACTGTTGCTCAAGTAGCTGAATGCACTAAATGAAAAACTTGAATCATGCCCGTATGAATATTGCATTTTATCGTAAGCCTCTAGCTGGCGAGTAGATAATCATGCCTTGGCCCTATTTTGTGGCCTTGTGGCAGACAACTGTCCTGCAGGTGTGCACTAAGGCAGACAAGTATTTCGTGGGCGTATTTGCTTTTTGTGCTGAAAGTGCTGGAAATTCAAGCACTAGTTTTTGCTTAATTATTTGGATATTTTGGTTGATTAGCATGATATTTATAAATTTTGTTATTTTTAGAGGGTTGGGTTGGAGTTAATGGTGTTTCCTTGGGTTAGGCTTGGTCAACATGTTTTGTGATTGGCTGGGCCTGATACCCAGCACATCCCTAGAACTCTCTGCCTATTGGTAGCCAAGTGTTTTCTTGATTTATGCTTTCATATTAAATAGTTACTCTCATTGGATGGATTTTTTTTTACATTGCAATGTCGAACAGGTTTTGGCTAAGAAGTTTGGAGCGGCAGTGGTTTCTCTTGAGCATCGCTACTATGGGAAGAGCTCCCCCTTCAATTCTTTGACAACCGAAAATCTGAAATATCTATCATCCAAGCAAGCTCTTTTTGATTTGGCTGCCTTCCGCCAATATTACCAGGCAAGTTTTTGAAATATTTTTTTGGGAACCAAGAACATATGTTCCTTCAAATGAGGGTATGGTCTTCAATTTATATGCATATCATCTCTGTTCAAATGAGGCTAGCTCGGTGGTACATTTTGCTATGTGCATCTCGGGAAAGGAAGATTGCTGAGTTGTGAAGCTTTGCAGTGATGAAATTAGATCAGGGATCAAAGTATTGTGTAGGTGAAATTTTACAGGCTATTATGTGATCCAAGCTTGTTCACGAACTCGAGTTAAAAAAAATATAAATAGAACAAGCTTGAGATGCTAACTTGGCTTGTGTTTGGCTCTCAAGCTCACCCAAATTTGCCAATCCAAGCTTGAACAGCACAATACCTGGCCCATATGCAGCCCTCATAATATGCAATGAAGTTTTCTTTATTATTGCTGATTTTACTTCCCTCTCAATACAATAAAATGAGTTATGCATTCTCTTCATTTTATGTGATCTAGTAAGATACCCTTAGTTGTTGTCTGATAATTGAACTGGCACTTAGATTCTGTTGTAACTCATTGAACGCGACAACTTTATGGCTGTGGTTAGTATTCCACACTTGACTAAACATTCGGCAGACATCTCTTAATTCTTTGTTTGGAAACTTTGAGGATGCAAGTGGAATCATATTTCTCCACACTGTTGGTACAAAATAGGGAGCAAGATGAGTAATTTATATTCAAAGGAGCATGGGAGTTTTGTATTTTCTGCTGAGCTTTGAAACTCCGAACAACCTTTCCTCTTGTTCCTCTTGCTCAACCTTCAACAACAGCCAGTTTGAAACTTATTTTTTCTAATGCAGTTGCTCCATGCCATACAACCACTGTATGCTTGAGTATACTTCTTCCTTCAGCTTAATAATGTCATATTCAAGATGTTGGCATGTCTGTCTGCATGTTGGTGTGTATGCTTTAGTTATCTTAGAATAAGTATATGCAGATACATTATGAAGAAGTGATCAAGTTTATTATATTTATTTTTTAGTGGGGGGAGGAGGGGGTTCTCTAATTGTGTTCAAGTACAAATTTTTGTTATGGGATACTTACGAGTAGGTCTCAATAAGTAGATTTATTGTCTAATAGGTCTTATGAGAAAAATTTGTCATAAAAAAAGGTCACTAATTGTAAGTTTTAGCGATAATTTATAAAAATCATGATAAAAAAAGTCACTAATTGTCAATTTTTAGCGACATATATAAAAAATTGTCACAAAAAAATTATTTTTAGCGACAATTTTATCAAGTCTTATTTTCAATGGGACTTGATGGGAATTAAGTTCAACTATTAGGACCTATTGGTAGTTTACCCTTTTGTTATTTCGTTATTTTTCTTAATAGTAATCTTATGTTTAAAATTTCTAATCAAATATATGTATATATATAATGAGGACTTCCATTAATTTTCACTTAGGAGCATATATTTTGTTTTTGGTGGTCACAAACCTCATTCTTCTTTCACTTTATGATAAATTATCTTGCACTACATTGCAGGGATCCTTAAATGCAAAGCTCAATAGATCCAATGTCGAAAATCCCTGGTTCTTTTTTGGTGTTTCATACCCTGGAGCTCTTAGTGCATGGTTCCGTCTGAAATTCCCCCACTTAACATGTGGAAGTCTTGCAAGTTCTGCAGTTGTTCTTGCTGTTTACAACTTTACTGAATTTGATCAGCAGGTGAATATTTTGTGTTAATGATATATGCATTGGAAGAAGAAATAATATATATGTGTTCAATTTGTTTTCGAACGTCCTTATTCTCATATTTTATTTTGTTTCACATCCATGCTCATGAACTTGTTGATTTTGCACTATGCATCCCACTGTGCAATCTGTTTTTTTAACCTTACTTGCTGTCAAGTTAGGGCTTTCAATCTGATCTTCCTATTGCAGATTGGTGTTTCAGCTGGTCCAGAATGTAAAGCTGCATTACAAGAAGTTAATCAACTCGTGGAACAAAGGCTTGTCACAAATGGCAAAGAATTGAAGACCATGTTTAGTGCAGCTGAGGTGTGTATTTATTTTACATGGCCACATTTAATATGAACATGAGTCCAACTGCTCATAGGTGATAAATTCTATTTATTCTTTTAAGGTTTGGGAAATGTTAAAGTTAATATGCTAATTAATTTAGTAGGATTTATTTCCACAGCCGTAATCGATTGTAATGGATCCACAGCCCTTCCATTCATATAGGTGAGTCCCACACGTGAGTTTAGGGGCTGCAAAAACAGCTGCTATGGCTACGGAAATGTTATTACCTTCCTTTATTGCCTTCTGATTTCCTAATAGAATATGATCATTGTCGATGATTCATATAGTCTTGTTTAATTTAGGGCAGTCTCATAAATTTTCAGTGTGTCAATTCGTATGGTATACAAGTTGAAGTAGCCTGACACCATTATAGTTTATGACATCCAAAGAGGTGAAAGTTGATAGCATGAGCAAAAATCCGCCTTTTCCATGGACCACAAAAAGCTAAACAAGGCAGATCATTTGAACCCCCAGATTAATGAGGAAAACACCACCTGCGGCAATCATCTGTTCATATTAGAAGTGACTTTGCTGACGTGAGTTCGATTTTTGCAGTCAATTCAAAAATGAAAAAGTACCATCATGGGTACAGAAATGACCCTCTTAACAAGAAAACAGGGCAATAACCTTTTTTTTTCCTCTTCTGAATTGGGTAGTTTTTCAATGACACAGGAGGTGATTTTGTACTGAAATATGACCAATAAGATGGCCCTGGTGGATGGTTCCTTCATGAGCTGCACATAATTGCCCTTTTGTCATTGTCCCTATTTCTTTGAGCACACTCTGTATTTTATCTAAATTCAATTATAAGCAGAGACTTGGAGAATACGCTGGCAAATTTTGACCGGTGAAAGTCGGAGCCAGATGCCTTTTACTTCATGGAAAGGTCATCACAATGAATTTCTGTAGTGACTTTGTATTGTTATACCAATAGCTTGCTAGAGTGGTCATATTTCTAATAAAGTCAGTCGAAAACACTTGTAAACTTATAATAGTGTTGTGAACTGTCAACAAAGAAATTAAAATCACAATCAAATAATTGTTTACAGATCATCATAAAAATGCATATTTGGGAAGTTATATACTTCTCATCACATTTTGTTATTGTTTTGGCATGTTAGGGGTCTACCCTTGAAAATATGTTCGGATCAAGGTTCTGAAAAGCGGTTGCGGCCGTCGTAACGGTGGCGGTGCCGCGGTTGCGGTTGCGGTTGCGGTTGCGGGGTGTAAAGGCCGTAGCGTAACGGTTGCGGTTACCGGAACCGTGAATTTTTTTATTTTTTGCACAATTTGAAAAAAATTTACTGATATGCATATTGTTTTCCATGATCATATCTATTGGGTTTTAAAATAAATATTGATCAATTTTTATAAATTTTTAAATTTGATCTAATATATTTCATATTTTTAAATCACTATAAACTGAGTTTTTTACATTTTATTTTAATAATTAATGACTTTATATTCTACAAAAAATCAATCACTAACTATTATATATAAGATAAACAATGACAAAAGTAAGATAATAAATAAAAGTCTAAATATATATATATATGTATATATATATTTTAATCAAACCATTATTATTATTATTATTATTATTATTATTATTATTATTATTTTCAAACAATATATAGATAGACACACAGAAACAAAATGGTTGAGTGATGCAGCTGAATAGAATAGCATAGATCTTACAGCTTCAACAAATCAATAACATGTTCTTCATCTTCCCTCGTCTTTCTCTCTATCTCTTGCTCCTCCATCTTCCCTCTTCTCTCTCTATCTCTCTTCTCCCATTTTCAACTCTTTTTCTTTTTCTTTTTTTTTTTTTCTTTTTTTTGTGTTTTTTCAAAAGAAGCAATTCGGAACCGTTACGTAAAGGTGCATAACAAGCCGTCACGGCACCATTACAACCGCTATAGTGGCCGCTACGGCTGACACACCAGTGAATCTCAATCACACTGCAAAAGCAGCCGTAACAGGTGGCAGTAACCACCACAACCGTTACGTAACGGTTGCGGCGGCTTTTTAAAACCTTGGTTAGGAGTTGTAGAACAGTCTGCTTTGCTGATTGGTATACTGTCCTTGTGTTTGTGTGAGTGAATGATGGTGATTTTGTGAGCATTAGCAATTTAATGGCACCCACTACACTCTTGTTTTACAACATTCAAGTTGTGTAACTTGCAAAAATCTACTTCTTATATGATTCGGTTTAAGATCTGTGAAGGCAAAATCCAATAGGCCCTGTTGACTAAAGATTTTAAGTATTTAATAATATTGGCTTGATAAACTCCACCAGAGAGCCCCAATATGTATTTCTGAATGGATAATGTGTAGGACTTATTGCACTAAATCTGACTAGATCAGGACTGCACTATTGAATCTTAACTTATTTTGCATGAATTACATTTTTGTTCTTAGTAAGAGGAATTCCGTTTGCACTCCCTAATTTGTATGTTGCATTTTGAGTGTTTGCAGCTTAAGATTGATGCTGATTTCCTGTATTTTCTGGCAGACGCTGCAGTTATTGCGGTAGGTGCTTCAGTTATTTTAGTTGGGTCACTTAATATCTATCAACTCAAGTAGTGACCATTAAGTTTTCCAATTTGCAGTTTCAATATGGAAATCCAGATACATTATGCTCCCCTCTTGTTGAAGCAAAGACTGACGGGCAGGATCTGGTGGTATGCCCTTGCTCTTCCGTCCATTTAATTCTTTGTATTATTGCACTCTTCAAAGGTCATGAGAATCTTCTTGTTCGAAGAAAAAATATTTCTTGTGCAACCTAGATTTTTAACTGGTAGCTAAATTAAAATATACAAGCTAACTTTGGTAGTTTTCTTGGATTTTGCTATGATTTATGGTGAACTTAATATGTACTGTTCTGGGGAAAGTGTGGGATTGCTAACTGATGGATATTGAAATTTGTTGAAGCCAATCTCTATGTGCTTGCATGTGCAATGATAGGAGCTCTATTACAATCTGAGGCTTTGATTGGACAGGTGCCCAAAATACAATATAAGGTACAGGAACTTTATTAAGGATACATGAATCTACTAATTGTAGGAGGATCCCAATGATATAAAAAATCCTCTAGGTCCTCTAAGATGGTGAACGGCAAGTTCTTCTTAAGTCTTCAAACCCTTGAACATCAGATGCCCACAAGGATACAAACATTTTTGAGTGTGACAATTTGAAGTTCAAATTTGCATTGTTGTTTATCCGGCAAAATCAATAGATCTCTTTCAGCTTTGCTAATGGCACCATTGAAATGGTGTGATTTGCTTGAAAATATCATTTTAATTAGATTTAAAAGGAGCCTGTGTTTGTTATTACTTATCAAATATATATATTTTATTCCAATGAAGAATTATTCTGCTACTTTCATTTGGACTTGATGTTTGTCATTTATAAGATGTATGGCCATTATATGGAAAACTTCACCCATCACGTGCCAGCATTGGAATGACTACATCCCTTCAATAATTTCAGCTACTTAGAGCGTTCCATTAATTTATTATTATTATTTTTTTTATTTTTTTTTTGAGTTTATATTTTTAATTTTTTTTCTTGTTTTAGGAACTTTTAATGTTTGGTGAGATTGTACAGGTTGCTTGTTTCATGCCTCATTGATGAAACAACCATATGATGCCTTATTATTTTCTTCTTCCCAAATTTGTACCCATGCATTTAATTTTGTCACATAATGTTCTCTACAGGATGCATATGCTAAATATGTAAAAGACTATTTCCTTGGGAAGTTTGGTGTTAGTGTTCAAACATATGATCAGCAGAATTTGAAAAACACTGTTCTCAATGGTGGAAGTTCTGATCGATTGTGGTGGTTCCAAGTATGTACTGAAGTTGCTTATTTCCAGGTGGCACCCGCAAATGATAGCATGCGCTCTTCAAAAATTGACACAAGGCATGTATCTAGTAGCTCTGTATTGATTTCTATGCTCTTTAATATCATGCTTCTACTCTTTGCTCTTTTACTCATGATGATTACTTCATTGGATCACTAAAAGGGTCAAGGTAGAACAACTTGTTATCTATATTATTTAGGTTTCTTTTTATGTATGAGTTTATTCAAATTTGTTGTTGTATGTGGCAGATACCACTTGGACCTTTGCAAAAATGTTTTTGGAGAGGGCATCTATCCTGATGTTGATGGGACAAATCTATACTATGGAGGCACAAAAATTGCAGGTTTAAACATCTACCGTTTCATATATTTCTTTTTCATATTTCTTGTTTTCAACATTCCGTTGACAACTCGATTGAACTGGTTGGCAAAACTGGACGTATGTAGCCAACACCTAGTAGTTGAATGAGTCTTTGTTGAGTTGAGTTGACTCCATTGAGTTCGTAAATTAACTTTTTCTCCGAATGGGATGCTCAAAACTTTTCTTCCTTGGGACCAACTACGTTAAAACTAAAAATGGATGTTTGGATTTTTACTTACCTGGGACAAATAGGCTTCTTATATGGATAGTTAAATGAAATTGTTTTCCTCAAACTGGACACGTTCTTGAATTTTTTACCAACCAAATTGTCAGAAATTTTTGTGATTGAAGAAAACAGATCCATAATTCATTTCAGTAAATATAATCTTATAGGTCACCATAATTTCTTGGCACCTTTCTCTTTTAACACTATTTTCCTTCCAGGCATCTTCAAACTGATTATATGTTTTTTCTGTGTTTTGTTTCCTTGCCTTATAGTAGAACCTGGAAGAATCATTATCAGTGTTCATCTAGCTTGAAAGTTGGATGCATCTATGTTGGTCAAAATTCTGTTTAAGTTTCTGCACATTAGAACTACATGGAATTTCCATGAACATATTCTGAATTTCTGATGGAAATTGTGAATTGGCAGGTTCAAAAATAGTTTTCACAAATGGCTCACAGGATCCATGGCGACATGCATCCAAACAGACTTCATCCCCAGATAGTGAGTCTCCCATTTTATATTTATAATGCTTATTGTATTAATGCAGCATAATAATTTTTCAATTCGGTGATGAAGAGTGAGTGCCTCGTATATTAATCAAAGTATTAATTGGGACCTCTTTTATTTATTTTAGTGTAATGACTTAACTCTACTGAAACTTTCTTGGCATTCAAACAGTGCCTTCCTACCTCATTACTTGTCATAATTGTGGCCATGGAACTGATCTCCGAGGATGTCCCCAATCTCCTTTAAGTCCTGAAGGTATGCCTAGTCAGCATGCCGTCAAACTGTCCATTGATAGCCAATGATCACCCTCTCACTGCGAATTATTAATTTTTTTCTGCTGAGTAAATTTTTTATTTTGTCATTTCAGGCGATGCCAAGAATTGTAGCTCACCCGACGCAGTTCACAAAGTAAGGCAACAACTGATTGAAAACATAGACTTGTGGCTGTCTCAGTGCCAAGAAGCCACAGGTAGGAGTTTTATGTGATAAGCGTTGTGGCAGAGAAGCAAATAATAAACGTTAATGAATGTATCTAACTTTTAATTTAATGGATTACATTCTCAACAGATGCATAACTGGCTTATACATTGAAGATATGCCCTATATGTGTTGCTTTTTATGTGTATGTACGTTTACCAATTCGAACAGTATGTAAAACATAGTACCCTATTGCCACGGATTTGTATTTATTGCCTTGGCTTTATATTTGTCTGCTCTTAACTCTCATTTGGTTGTAAATATATGAAATAAAATACCTGGAATAAAATTGAGTGAAGAATGTGGAACTATATGTTAATGATCAAAAGTAAACAGTGTTATGTACTATTATTTAAGATTGGTACTCTCTCTCTCCCTCTCTCTCTCTCTCTCTCTCTCTTGTGGCTGGTAACTTTGATAGAACTCTGGTTGCATTTCTTACCGTGTGTTCTTCATCACCGTGTGTTCTTCATCACTGAATAAAATGGAGCAGACTTTTTCAACTGGATTGTTTGTTCAAGACTTCCTCCATTTCTTCTTTTTGAAGGCTGACTCATCTGTGTTAATCGGTCTCAGCCAAGCAGGGAGTGTTGTCTCTATGGGGCTCATTACAGGACCATCTCCATTACATAACCATTGCTCATTTATTGGATCATTTATGTAAAAAATTTACTTATCGGATATTGATAATCATATGACTTGCAAAAATGATTTTGGAAATCTTTTTTTTAAGAAAAGTATTTATTTATTAATTTTTTTAATGAATAGTTTGAATTATGAAAATGGTGTGGAGTATCAGGTAACAGACTACAAGTTGCATCAATTTACTGCAACTGTGCATCTGTTTGTATGCATGTGCAATAAATATTAAATATACAGTGATGTTACGTGATAACTGACCAAAAAAAACAAAAAAAATTACAAAATTATATAATACTGCAAAAGATCAACTCATGAACAAAAAAAAAAATCAGTTCCCAACTTTCCTCACACTCAAGAAGCTGGGTCCCAACAATGCGAGATTTGGGATCCCACTCCTCCCAATTTTAATTGACTATTTAACTTTTCAATTATTTGTCTGGCTAAAAAAATTATGCATGATAATATTTTTTTGATAGTTATGCAAAAAAAATAAAATGATAATGTATTAGATATGATATTTTGTCTTATTGATTATTTTAGTTTTTTTTTGTCTTTATTAACTAATTTAACCAAATAACCTCTAATCAAACAAGGCCTTGGTGATCCGAAACAACACTAACAGTTTTCGCCATGCAGCATGTTATAAAGCAAGCCATTAGCTACAACGAAAATAGAACCAACAGTACTAGTTTGTTACCGAAAACTCTTGCACTTCCGGAAAGTAAAAAAATTAAAAAAAAAAGAACATAAAAAAAAAATGAAGGCATTAAAAGTTGGAGGAAATATGACTATTAGAAACTCATGAATGAGCAGTATCTCAGTATCTGTATCTATTCTGTCCAGTGTCCACCCACCAGTTCAGCAAGCAATGCACACACCTTGACCCACTCAACTAAAAAAACCCTCTTATGCTCAACTCCTGATCTCAAAAATGTGCTCATAAAATGTAATAGAGGACAACTACAAGCACACTGTGTGAATTCTGAACATAACACAACTCTATCTCTAAATCAAGATTAAAGAGTAAGGAAAATTTTGGTTGTCCATTGATGGAAGTGTTATAAGAGAACTGGCACTATTTCAAGTAAGTAGAAGAAACCCATAGAAGCACATAAGTTATCAATGAAGTAGCAACTTCCAAACTCCTTGGCCCTTTAATTATAGGAGGAATCACAGACACCATCAAGAAGGTTCCGACCAGCCACGAGAAAATAAAAGCTCCAACCCTGCAATACAAAAACAAATCCTGACTGTTATGTATGAGCTATAATAGTGAACTATATAGGAAGGTTTAATCCTATGCAATCGTCTTTAAACAATTTTAAGGTTTATCTAAGAAGCACGGACACTTTTAAGGTGTCATGTATGTGTTGGACACATTTTAGTCACTGACACTCTTTAGACACTTCTCAACATGTGTCATATTATTATTTTTTTATTTTTTATGCCTGGACATGCTACAAACCCTTGAGGGATGCACATATCCATCAACACATGAAACACATCATAAGTTTGAACAATGATAAAAAGGAAAAGAAAAAAAAAAAAAGTAAATTTATAGATATTAAGACCTCCTCCTCCTCCTCCTCCTCCTCCTCCGCTAAACTTCAAGAATTAGTGTTATTTTGTGTGTTGTCCCAATTATCATGTCCTCAATTTTTTGAAAATTGGCCTGTCAATGTGTGTGTCTTACCCGTGTTTGTGTTCGTATTTCTTAGATGTTCATAACAGCCATGTTTCAGTATTTCTTAAAACATGAAAAGGTCCAACACAATGAAGAATAAACAGACATGGAAGTAATAACACCAAAATCAGAATCATACCCGTATAGTAGAGCACGCAGTTTGCTTTTTAGTCGATCATATATAAAATATATAGTAGCCATCAGAGAAATGGCTACCTGAAGAGTTGGGCCTTCTTCCGTTGGAAAAAGAAAAGTGAGAGCTCCAAGAACAACGAAAGCTGCCGATGTTTTTATAATGAAATTTTTAGATGGAGTTCGGAACCTGCTTGTGACTGCCTGCACGACACGGGACTGAGTTACTACCCTAACCTTTTTCTTGATGTCAATTTTTGGGTTCTTCCTTTCGTAAAACTTTTGCATGATTATTTTGTCATGGGCTGATTCAATTGCATCAACACTTGGCTTGTGCCCTCCATATCTTTGCATTAGGAAATTCCTAGCAGCTTGGATTTCGTCTTCAGAAGCTTCCCTACTTATTCCAAGTCGTTTATAAGGGTCCCTTATATTGATTCTGGGAAATATAGCTGCACTTGACAATACAATTTCAGAGAATTTCATAAATTCAAGAATGCACAAATACTGTAACACGTAACATGCTTCAATAGAAACCAAATGTGGAGCAATAATGTAGATAATGAGTAATAAGGTTTGACATACAAATAGTATACACCAATAGATAAAGAAATCAAGATTTATGCAAATGCAAATAGCATAAAACATTATCCCTTGTTTTCCTTGGTCTGAATTACCCAAAATGAGTCAGCTAAAAATTGAGCACCCTATTTTAACTTTGGCTTGAGTTCTCTCCATTTCTGGTTTGGTTCTAAAATTAGAACTCTACACACATGAATACTTTGGGGAACCAAAAAAAAAGACAACTACTACTCTATACACATAAATATCCAATATAATTAGGCACTAGCACCGCAAAAATACTACTATGCATACTCAGTTGTGTTTTTCAAATCACCTAGCAACATAGGTACCTAATCAATTACTCAACAACTAAGTATAATATTAGGTCATAATTGGATTCACGTATGTTGTTTAGATGTAGTATTTTCAGTAATACAAAGCACACCTCAAGCAAAGTTTTTTTCTCTTTACTAGTTTTTGACAAGTAAAGCAATGCACAGAGTAAAAAGCAAGTGTACAACCAAGGTACAAGCATATTAAAAAAAACAGACAACTAGCCTCCACAGATGAGAACATAAAACCCAAACTCAACACTATCTTCATGATAAATGTTTTTTATATTAATAATAAATAACAATTCACATGTTCAAAAATGTTGTCCTTTGTAAGAAAATTGGTGGACTCTTATATAAAACAAAACAAAACAAAACATAACATATAATCCAAGAGTACTAACATTAGGAGGGCAAAAGTACAATTCAATACTTCATCTACTTCACTTATGTTCTTGTGCCTACCTAGCAAAAAGAAAAAGGGATAATTGCACGAACTTCCCATGAGATTTCAGGCAATTGCAAGGACCCCACGTAGTTTTTAAAATTACAATGTCCTTCCAAATCAAAGTAGTCGGGTAACATTAATTGATAAAAATGTACTCTTTCACTCATCCAAAAATTCACACTTTCCTCAAATTTCTTGGCAACAAAAATTTGATTGAAGAAGAAGAACAAAGCTCTTAATGTACAACTCAGTCCATGAAAATCGATCAATTTGTCAAATCAAAGACAAAAATTTGCCAAAAAATAGAATGACTTGATCCCAAAATTCAAACCAAGAAAAAAATGGGGAAGGGGATACAAGATTTTGTGATCTGGGCAGTTCTATGCTCTTTCACGAGAGAGAAGGGTATAATTCAACACATATAAAGAGGAGAGAGAAACATAGAGGAATTGGTTCAGTGGCGGAGGTCAACGCAAGTTTGGCAATCCTAAAATCAACAAAGTAACACAAAAGGTAAACATTACCAGTTGGGTCATTAGCGGCATCGCCAAAGGAAGCATCCATTGCACACTTAAACACACAGGTTTTTCGTATGCTACATCTCTTAATAGAACCAGCCCAGTTATTTCTACACGGCAATCACAATGGGTAAAAAGCTAATCATGACATGCACAAAATCATACAAAAGTTAAAATCACCAGAAATGATCAAAATATACCTTTGTAGATAAGTTAACATCCTTAATTTTCCATTATCCGGAAAAGCTGAAACACTCTTAGAATGAGAACCCCGGCCTTGTGCAAGTAGGTGGAATCTTGATGGGCTACCAGCCAATCCAGACAAAGTCATTTTTATAGATGATATTGAACTGTTAACCTGAGTTTTAAAACCAATGAGAAATTAAAGCAGCAATAGGAGAAAAAAAATCCCAACAATATCATATGCAGAAGAGAAGAACTTGAATTACTCTTAGAAGAGGAAAGATTCAATTAGTTTAAGGAACACTAATGTGGAACAAAAGTTCTGCTAACAATTTAAGTAAATTCCATGGCTTGGCCAATAGTACAAGATTATCATAATCACCCCAATTTCACAAAATATCTTTTGATCAACCCTCTCAGCAATTCAATAAATTCTATAACACAATTATTTCCTTGCAAAACCCTCAATTTTAGTCATAAAAGAATGCTCATAATAATGCACATGGGAATAGAAAACACAAATTATAACTGTCAGAAAGGCCATTAGTTTCTGTAAGGCTAGCTTTTTCCTATTTTTCCGTGTGGGTTTGTTCATTTACAGTCCATTTGGTATAGTAGGCAGGAAAAGAATAAATAAGATTATGGATTCTTATCTAGATAAGAAAAGGAAAGAAATTATCATGGTTTCTCACCATTTTATTTGGATTAACAATAAGAGGTCACATGTGTCTTTTTCAATTTACTTTGTATTAAATAAATAAATATACCATACACACAACAAAATTTCCTTTATACCATCTAGCTTCAACCAATCAATTTGGAGAAATTGATAGCATTTCTCTCAAATTTTCCTCTATATCATCTAGCATCTACCAAATGCAGCGCAAAAAACCCATTTTCAAACACTAGCTGAACAAATTCTTGAGAAAATTCTACACCAAATTGAAGTTCACAAACCCACGAGTGGGGTTGCGAAAATTAAACTACACAAGTAAAACCAAACTTGGAATGAACAAAAAATAAATAAAAAAAAAAGTACCTGATTTGAGGAAGATGGTTGTCAAAGAAACCGGGGGGGGATTTGGCTATCTTCTTCTAAACAGAAAGATTAGAGAGAGAATTGAAAGCTGTCATCTTTGAATAATAGATGAAACTGCTTCAGTCATATATATAATATATCTATCTATCTATATATATGTTGTTGTGGGTGTTTGTGAGAGTTTTGCTGCGATGCGAGGTCTTCCATTTCTTGGAGAGCTTAAACCCTTTCTCTCTCTCTCTCTCTCTCTCTGTCTTTCACTGCAGATACGACAACTCTTATCAGTCTGATACATTTATCTTAATATGTGCATTAAATAAATTATGTTGTAAGACAACGTTTAACACTTCTCCGTTGTAGTCTAGTTGGTTAGGATACTCGGCTCTCACCCGAGAGACCCGGGTTCAAGTCCCGGCAACGGAATTTTTGTTTTTATTTTTAACGCTAAAAATTTTTTAACAAAAAAAAAATACATTATAGTTGCTAAGAGAATAGTGTAAAAAAAAAAAAAAAAACTTTTTCGTGAAGGTAAAGAAGATAGTTTCTTTGGTTGTGTTTTCATTTCCATTATAGTTTTTAAAATTTTGAGAAGATTAATTATTTTTATTTTTGTGATAAAACAAAATATATGTTGAATTTTTTTTTTTAAATAAACATTTCTCTAAATAAGTTGATTACTGGGTACTTTTAATTTATATTTTTTTAAGAAAAATTAAAATTAAAATCATCTTCCAATTTCAATATGGAAAAGCTATAAAAATAAAGTAAAATGAAAAAAGGGATTCCGTTGCCGGGACTTGAACCCGGGTCTCTCGGGTGAGAGCCGAGTATCCTGACCAACTAGACTACAACGGAGGCTGTTTGTGTTGCCTCGCAATTATTAATTAATAATATTAAACTCAAAGACCTAAAAATATTTGAAGTAATAATAGCAGCAATGATGATTTGTCGATCCACTAGTATTTTTAGACTTCGATAGTTGGATAGTGAGAGACTTTGAATAGAAAGAACTTCTGGGTTTTCAAAATTTCGGCTAAAATGTAAATTATTTATTTTTGGAGTTACTTTTTCAATCAATTTCTCTAAATAACATTCTCTATTATTTTTTTATTTTATTCGGTGTTCTTTGTCAATTTAAAATAAATTATGAAACACACAAGATAGATAAAAAAAACACTCACATACACTACAAGGTAGCACACCGAATAATTCAATGTGCATCAAAGAGACAAGAGGGGTGACTTGAAATGGAGAGATGGAAACCAATTTTGGAAAGGAGAGAAACAACTATTGCACCTTTCACACCCAATTTCTTTCTTCTAAATTGTACCCACAATTTTATAACTTGACACAACTATTTACCATTGTGTGATTGTGTTTTCTTCATCCTAGCCTTACAAATTACAATTACAAGTACTTTCTCATTTCATAGAAATAAAGTACAAACACAAGAGAGTCCTACAAACTGAACCACTGAAGAAGGTGGATTCAACCCTAAGTAGAACACCTAACTCAAGCAGCCAGTCTTGCCTGGCACCCAAGATGACTTCAAACCAGCATATAGTTTCCATATTGTTTTCATCTTCAAATTTTCAATTTTTCAGAAATCAAACCATATAATTTTTTCTGAACTGTAAGACAGCAAGAAGCCAGTAAAACTTGGCAAAAAGAATACATGAATTTTGTAGAGAAAGGAGCAATGCACCATGCAAACTTCTCATAATACATGGTTACAGAAGTTATCGTGCATGTTTCGCTGAATCAACTGTACAAATCCTTAAATAACTATACAATTATAGAGGAAACCACCATGATATTCATTACAAGCATTATTGACTGCTTTACAATTGTTGTCTGCACAAAACCAGCCTGCACCCTGCAAAAAAACAGCAAAAGACCGCAACCAAAATCAACCCATATCGACACACCTTAATATTCTTCTTCTTTTTCTCTTTCCTTTTTTTTTATATATATATATTTTTGACAGCATTGTATTACTCAAACAAGAGGCGGTACATCTTTGGAGCTTCCAATTGGCAGGTAAAGTCTTGTGGATGTCATACCAGAGGTTTACCAATTAAAACCACCACTGACTAAAAAATGTTTGCACAAAAATAGCTCACAAAAAACATCAAGTCATGAGGTCCTAAATTTAACGGAAGACTGGCATAGAAAGAATTATTGCAGTTACAAAAATCTTCAAAATACAAAAAATAAAATTTAGTACATGCAAATTCCACATACCATAGAACAATTTTCTCATGACTGGAAGAGAGTTACAGTTGCAATATAACCATTCTTCAAAACCTGCCAACATCAGTGAAACACTTGTAAATAATCCTTACATTACATATCCCATAACCTAAACAGAAAAATTCCCAAGACAGCAGAAAATTGAACAAAATGAACACAACAAGGATCAACTTGCAATACAGGAGAAGGAAAAAGATAAAGATCAATACAAAAGAAATTAGGTCAAATTTGATCAATAACTCACCTCGAATGCAACATTCTGATAGCCATATACAAAAGTAGATCCAAAAGGATTGCTTTTAGAACCTTGTGTTTGGATGGCAGCTCGGCCACAGTCCCCGAGAATCTCCTAGAGAGGAATAAATCATTTATTGAAGACAATACTGAAATTGAACGACAAATAGCGTAGGTAGAAATAAGCAAGTTGAGGAGAGAAGGTGAATACACATGCACAACTAGAAAGTAGCTTATTGGTAATAGCTATGCCAATATTGAATCAGAAAGTTCAAAAACTTGCAACTTAATAGAGAAATACGGTAGAAATACGAATGGCATTATAACATATTTACCTTCACTTGTTCCCATTTTGTGCTAGGTTTAATGCAGGCATTTACTTCCTGATGAAAAGACCCACCAACTGCAGGAAATATTAGAAACGTAACATATCAGTTTCTAAGTTAGCATGGCTACCAAATGGTTCAGTAACCGATCAGAACTTACAATCGGAATTGTAGATAACAAAATTGCACTTTATGTATAAATTAAAATCTGCATGCCCTGGATAGTTGGTATGCAAAACAAACTTCTTGATCTTATGAGCCTGCAAATTCAACACAAACTTTTGAAGAATTTTCCAGGACAAAGATTAATAAGCACAACTTCACTATAGAAATTATCACTATGAGAAAAGGAAGACAGTACCTGCCCATCAAATAATATGTCCAAGCCACGAGTGAAATAATTGTAGAAATAATCACCACAAAGAGTTGTCCGTGGCCGAGGATCAGAAGCAGAATGAATCACCATTTGATCTACCTGTACAAGTAACAAAATTGATTTCCACAAATTGTTTTAATACCCCAAAACCCAGAAATAATTAAGACAGAAAGATTGAATTTCAAGAGTCTACATTCAACACCTCGAATTTCACACAAGCCAATTGCCAATTTAAGGTGAATATCAAGCTACAAAAGTCAAGAGACAACAAGGCCTAACATTTAATGCAAAAACATAAAGTTCTTAAGCACTTTATTTATTTCCTTTGCTTGTATATTTTACGACAGACCTTTTAGGTATTTTGAGTTGTCAATACGAAAAACATGGTTGCTAAAATAGGTCCAAATCACACAATCTACCTGCTACAATAACGTAAGAAAATACAAAAGATTGCATTCTTGTTACTAAACCACCATAATGTAAGCAAATGACTGCTGTAGTGAAGGCGTAAAAAAAAAATTTTTTTGTTATATCCAAGATAGAGGGGAAAATGGAACAAGATGCAAAACAAGAAGAAATTGTATGTTCACAATCAAAGCATAAAGTAACAAAAACCTTGAACACATCAAATGGCTAAATCACTCTTTTAAATCCCAGTTTGTTCATCCAACTATCAAAGTAACAACCCATGTAGTCCATGATGTAATATCACCAAGTTCAAGTATTTAACAAAAGATACGAAGGCATCTGGATTTTGGTTCATTAATATCAATTTGCTGTATTACAGATATCAAATCCACCAAAATAAGCATATTTAGAAAAATAATGAAAATTTTGGTAATACTAAATTTCACACATGCAATAGGGAGAAAAAATAACAAAGATGAAGCTCCTAAATCAACTACAAATACCAATTCAAGGAAAAGTTACTAAATTTCTGCAAGTTCAAAAAAATATAAATCCCATGGCCTCGTTGAAAGCAGCTCAAATGTATAACCATAACCAGTGTACCAAATTCTGACATTCAGTTTTCAAGAAGAGTAACTAAGGATACCTGCTTTTGATGAATTCCGCAGGGGCGACCTAACTCGGTCCACACATCCTGCAAAATAACAAGAAAAACATTACATGCAATACAAACATAATTCAATTTTAAGATGGAAACAAAGTTTCAGTTACCACACCAAATACACACACCATTTGAACAGTAGAACATGAAGAGAAATTAATGTGATTGTGGACCAACCAGACAGGGTTTAAGTTGACAGTAAGAATGCAAGCACACCAGTGAACCCCAACTTCTTTGCAATAGAGGGAAGATAACCTCTAAGGAGTAGCTTGGTGTACTGTGGGGATACACCAAAATTGAGACCATCAATGACCAGTTAATGCTCACTAACTACATAGAACCACCACCAATTGAGAGGATAAACCAGACTCTAGTCATAACAGTACGGATTACCAAAGCTGGTGCAGAATTCCACAACAAACTTCTTGATTTGTTTCCAAAGTTGCCAAAAGTTAAAATATTTACCTCAATCAGGTGAACTTTAGTCTATCAACCATACAATTTTCATTCCTAGTTTATTCGTGAATATTAAGCTACATCAATAACTCTAAATACAATTGAAATTATCATATTAACAAATTCTCCACTTCATTGCTTGCAAAGTTGCACTATTAATTCACTCTCAATGTCACATTTCGACTTTCCTGAAGTAGTATTCTTACCATTTCGGAGCTACCTGAGGTTTCAATTTGTTTTTAATGCCAAAGAAATTCCGATTCCCAATGATGTCATATGATTAAAACTAACCATGGAAGCAAATAAGTATCAAAACATAACAGGAGAGAGTCATAATTTCTCAGAAAATCAAAGTGAATGAAAAAGAAGCATTATTCCAAGCCACTTCCATGGGAAAAAAGTTACATATACATCATGTGATCAAGGAAATAAATCAAAATAAAATTTACAGGAAATGAAACAAGAAGACTACATGCAATAAAAGAGTTAAGCAGATCTTACCTGCAGCGATGCGCCGAATGGGATATGCTGGCCACCAACAGCAAAATATAACTCTTCCCCGAGCTGGATAACAAAGAAATTGAACAGGGTCAGTCAAAATACCACAATGGCTGCCTCTCTTTAGGTCAGATGAAGAGTCTTCAAAAGAAGCAGACTTTTATTGTTGCATTTATGGAATACCTTTCCAGAAAAACACAGAAATATCTCACATCTAAAAGTGACAGCTATAGGATCATTTAATCCAGGCTAATATATTTTAAAAACTGATAATTTGCATGGTGCCTCCTTACTATTTATATATTAGTGATCAACCAACTAATGATGTGAATTTATATGAGTAGGAGTAACTCCAAAATTTTCATTCTCTCATATCAGACCCTTGATGCTGATAGGAAGAAATATGAGCAGGTGACAGAACACCTAACTTTCTGGGAAAAAAATAATAATAATAATGATGCAGAGATGGCAAAGGAAGTAGACAAACCTTAACATGAACCTCCTCCATATAGAGGCTGCCAGCAGGCAAAGGAGGAGCAGAAGCCTTGTCCACTAAAGAACCAATGCCAACTCTACCTGCAGAGCTATCATATATAGAGACACGGCATGTGACTGGCGTGGTGCCATCAGGAAACTCCAGAGGCAATGCCACTTTCAAAGTGAAGGGAGAAAGAGGGCCAATAAGGATTCTTAAATTTGTATGTTTAAAAGTCTTAAACTTTCTATTAAAAAAAATATATTTGTAGATCCAATACCTTCTCCATCACTACAGCAATTTGTATACTGAGATGGAATTGGAAAAGCAAAGGACAATCCCTGCAAAATACAGACATCAACTCCTCCAAGTTAAAAAAATGGAAGAAGAGGAAAACATGTACCCCTTATGAATGTGTATTTGCCAAACATACTGGATAGAATAGTGTGTAAACACCTCTAACTTTGTCATAAATTCCAGGATATGTTGGCCCAAAAGTCGCATATACAGCAACAAAAGTAGCTAGAGTGGAAGGTCCCCTGGAAGTAAAGATGAGGGTCAACAATAATACATTGACCAAAAAAGCAAGATAATGAGTGGCAAACTAATGACTCACCCAATCAGAGAAGTGGCATAGTGCATTTGAAGCCGCTTGATATCAAAAATTTCAATCAGGTGTAGCCTCTAATACATAGTAGAAAGTAAGGTCAATCTGTAGCGCCCTCAAAATAACAACATTAAACCCATCAATAAAGACATGCATTGATATGTAAAAGTTCCACATTCTTTCATTTATCAGAGTTTTATTACAAAAAGTATTACATGTTAACGACAAAAGCAAATGCCCTAAAGGTTTACAGCTTTCCAAGTTAACACTTGGTTACAACAAAAGAGTACTAACTCATTTACACATTAAGCCCTTGGCTTGAAAATGACAAAAGTGTGTCCGCCTCTAGCCTCCCAAGCTATGTCCTTGGAGGTGGCATGCTACCTGTACCTGAAAATGATATTCCCATATAGGGTGAGCCACAGCCCAGTAGAAATACACTAAACCAAATATGAACAATGACTAAAAGATTAGCAGTTGATAGATAGCCAACACTGATACTTTCTTTTTATCACGCTTTACAGTTTCATGACATACAAGTCCATGTTACAATTCTTTCTTTTTTTTTTTCTTTTTTTTTTTCAGTTCCTTTCAATCCTCAATTTTACAATCATGGCTCAGAACCTAGCCAACAACTCATATGAGACAATAACTCATATCAAACACTTCCGTTTCATAATAGATAAGCATACTAGCTATATCACACAACAACAGATAAGCATACAAGCTATATCATCACTTCCACAGATATGCATATGAGCACTATCACACTTCCAATGACAAGCATATGAGCTCTGTCAATACATCACTAGATAAGCATATGAGCTCTATCTACGGAGTCCATCCCCTATCTCCTCCCAACAATATCCGGTTAGAGGTCCATCCCCTATCTTCTCCTAAACCGTGGAGTACATCCTCTATCTCCTCCAACACAACACAATGCATATAAACAATAATTATACACATCATCACACAACACATAACATATAATGTATTCATTCAACCGTCATACTCAATGACACATTCCAATGATTAGTTACAGTTTGCCTAATCATCATGCATTGTCTACAACAATCAAGACTATCCGAAACAACAATCAGAAAAACGGACAGTATTTCGGCTTTAGATAAAGACAACACACAGTTGATATTATAAGCTGAGTAAAGCTCCCAAATCCCTCAGACTCTGAATCAGCATTCCCATTTGCCTCCAAAGTCATCCCTATTCTGTCTTCAACGGTCACCACCACCGACTCGGGTTGGGTTAGGGAGGTGCTCAACATGCACAAATTCGTGCTGTCCGGGATGAACACCTCAAGCTTGGGTAGGTAGGAGGGCGTGATGTATATACTTGGGTCGTATGGAATGGCCTTGGTTTGGATCAGGTTGATGTGTTTGGGTGGTGGAGCTTGGTTATGTGGTGGGAGTGGGTTGGTGGTGACATTTGGTTTTTCTGGAGGTGCAATCACCTTGTGGTCAATAAGATCCTGGATCTCATGACGCAGTCTGAAGCACTGGTCGGTGTCGTGACCATGCTGTTGGTGAAAGGCACAGTACTTGGCCGGGTTATGGGTTGATGGGAGATTATTTGGTAGTGGTCGTGGTTCGAGGGGCTTCAGATGTTTTTTTCTGATTAAAACCCCCAGGGCCTTGGACAAAGGCATATACAACGGGGTAAAAGTTCTCTGCCCCGGGGTGGCACTAGATGTGCCGGTAAAGGGTGTGGCTGTTGTTGATGTGGTGGTGGTGACCATGCCCACCTTAACAGATGAGCGAAGTTTAGTTTCTCAAATAAACACTCCTACCCATTAACATGTTACAGAACAAGTTGACTTCTCTATCCCATTTACAAGCTTCACAACTCATGTTGTCATCCTCTTCTTCGCGGCCTCTCCATGTCTCTCTCACTCTGATGCTTCGAGTTTTTCCATGACAACAGAAGTTTGTTTGTTGGCTAACCATATGATTGTTGATCCACATTGTGTGAATAATGGCTTTGATTCTTTCTCTGCACCGCTCGAGCGCCAAGAACAAAAATCTGGACACGCTCGAGCGCAATAAGGCCCGCTCGAGCGCCAAGACACAAGAATAAAGCACTTCCGCTCGAGCGCGAAAACCAGTCCGCTCGAGCGTGGATTTCCCCCTCCCAGAACTTATACTCTGGAAGTACTACCCGCTCGAGCGGCCACCGACCCGCTCGAGCGTAAACAAACCCGCTCGAGCGCAAAAATCACATCTGCAGAAGTTTTGCAGAGACACGAAATACTGGAAGTGTGTAATCCCCGCTCGAGCGCAATAATACCCGCTCGAGCGGACAGGCCAAAATCTGGGCAACTAGTTTTGGTTTCTAAACTCAACCAACCTATAACTGACCTGCCCAACACATCCCACAACTCAAATACAAAGTAAGAAAGGATGCAAACAAGATAATGATCAACTACCGACATCCACGGGCACATGCCCGGATCACTGCACAACAAGGGTAAACCCGGGATCGCTATACAATCAATTGAACTATTCATGAACATTGTAAGTGTGAACCTCGCAGTCACACTCAAATACATCATTACACCATAGATATCAAAGAACATTATTTTTGGAACAAGTATTACATTCTGATACTAACAATTTGTTTTGTGGGGGGTACTGTAGAGCCTCAACAGAAATATTTTCATTCACATAATGCATCTCAATTAATGTCATAGTTTAAGCTTACTCCGTGCACTAAGAGGCGTGCCATTGTTAAAATGGTTTAACATCTTCATTTTATAATATCTAGCTGGCATTTCAATCGAAATTACAATTGGTGCCTTTTTTTAACCCAAAATCATAAAAATTATCTTGATCAGAATAAAAGGTTTCACCATAATTGAGATGCATTAATTTTCAGAATTTTTTTAACCAGATTGGAATTAGTTAAAGTTGTTGAATTTTAGCTGAAACTACTCTACAAATATCTTCTTAAATATTTTAAATTAGGTCCACCCGTAACAATTAAATCCTGCATAGTTTTAGGCATAGGTATCTAAACTCTGGAGTGCAAAACCTAGCAAATAACGTATTAGTTGCACAAACATTTAAATATACATAAAATAGATTACATCAACCTTTTTCAAGAACAAATATGATTGCCAATGAAATAAAGCCCAAATAGGAAAGGTAAAGTACAAGGCATGAACAAAAAAATACCTGTGACCAAGGATCAAAATGAAGATGAAAACCATGATCTGGAAAGCTTATAACAATATCCAGTTTTAGAGGCTCCTGGAGAGCAAAAGCATAATAATGAAAGGTTGCCCCACTCTTAAGAATGCCAAAATACTATACAATTCACTGAATAACCACAAGGGTCTACACACCACATTAATGAATGGCCATAGTATTTGCCTTGAAAAAATCATTCCAACATGAGCATGATTCGTGTGTGTGTGTGCGTGCGTGTGTGTGTGTGTGTGTGTGTGTGTGCACGAGCAAATTGGTGCACTTCACTTTACACAAACCCGAGATGAAGCAAATATGGTGTCCCAGTAACTTCAACCAAAAGTCAAAAAAAATTGGCAATCATCAATCATATTGTCATTCCTGATATTCTCTACCACACTACAGGGCCTAAAAAGCACATTAATAATTATAATACAAGAAAGCTTTTAGCTAATAGAACATTTTTTGCTAAAAATATATATAGAAACACTAATCATAAAATACCATCCACAAAGTCATGTAAATTTGCAAGACACGTAGAATGTTAAAATAATGGGTACTGAGTTGAAGGAGCTGAAAGGGTAGAAAAAGAGCTCTAGCAACAAGAAAACAAAAGGAAGGGGGTGGGAAGAAAGAGTTCTAGCACCCAGAGAATGAAACCGAACAGTGGCGCCAAAATGAACAATCTAAAATAGTAGGCTTCTATACTTTACCCTGGGAATGAAAGAAAAATTGATCAAACCGATTGAACTAACCAAAACGGTGAATTCGTAGTCACTCTGACTACACCAATGACTGCCAAGAGCCAGCGATTGCTGATTGATTTCTTGATTTTTCAAGATTTGTTGGTTCAAACCAGGGGTTGATAATTCACAATGACAGTAGCTGACCACAAATACTAAAGTGGAAAGGCTCACTCATTTCTTAGAATCTGAAGTCATCTCCAAGATCTCATATCAAATCTTTTTCATTAATTCCCCTTCTAACCTTTCAATATATACACATATCAGGTATTTTTTCATTAATTTCCCACCTCTAATCTTTCAATATACACACATATATTGTATGTATGTATTGGGTCGCCTTGATTTGTTTGCTAGCTTGAGGGATTTTATTGTTTTTGATATCTTAGCACCGACTAAACTGAACCGGTATAATACACATAGGTTTGGCTCGGTTATCTACTGTGTTTGGTCAGTTTTGATGCATATAAGCACAAAACCGACAATTTAAGCTCGGTGTGAATTTTACTTTATACCCCGATAACCGAACCAAACACCACTTACTTTTCCCCCTTTTTCTTTTATTTTCCTTGAACATGAAACTAGAAAATGGGTCCAATCGCAACCCAAAGAAAACCACTAAAACACACAAAATCACAAGGCCAACCAACCAATCACAGTAGCATAAGGAAACACACAGCATCTATTGACACAAACCTCGTCAAGGTACTTCACATGGACAACATCGTAGATGTTAGGTTGCTGTTCTATTGAGCAAACGCTCAATATGGGCATTCTGAACAGAACAAAACATATATCAAGCAATCACATCAAACAAAACAACAACTACAAAACTAACCAAAACTAACAAATTTCAGCTCAAATTTCAATAACCATTCGGACTCAACATTGATATTGTTAACAAAGCAAAGCAAACAAGCGACCCCATAAATCCAATCAAACCGATTTTCAACGCATTAATCACGAAATCAAAAAAGGTAAAAAAGCGAATGTTTGGAAGTAGAACCGAGAGAGAAAGGGCCGAGGCCGAGTCCGGGACGGAGATCCAAGGCGATGAAACCCATGGCAATGCCCTCGCACTTGCTTTTGGATCTCTGCTGCTGCAACATGCCCTTTTTTTTGGCTCTTTCTTCTGTTGTCGTCGTCGTCCCGTTGCTTTCGGTGAAGAAGACGCCTCCCAGCGCACGAAATGTTTTCGTGTTGCCATTTATAAAAAAATAATAATAAATAACCTTTTAGATTATTTAAATTTGATAATAATAAATAACCTTTTAGATTATTTAAATTTGATAATAACAAATAATTCAAAATATGTTTCAATTGTTTTTTCAAATCACATGAGAGGTGTTTTTTCTACCGATTCAACAAATATTTTTTAAAATTTTTAATAATTATATTTTTTTCTCGGATCTTTTAAAAAAATAATAAAAAATTATAGTCAAATTTATTATATATCATATCAAACTTTTAAACAAATTTATAACTCAAATTTGATGAGAAAAAAATCTATATTTAAGATGCTCTCGCGTGGTTAAAGTACCATTCAACTTTTTTTTTTTGGGGGGAGGGGGTTAAAATAATTCAACTTAAAAGAAAGAATTTGGCGCAAAACCTGAAAAATAGAATCCATTGTCATTCATAGGACCCACTATATTTACAAAAATAATAAAACTTATCAAAAATCTCATTTGATAATTTTTAAAAAAATTAAAAAAATATTATAAGTTGTCATATTATTTTTTTATTTTTTAATATATTTTTTTATAAAAATTTTGTCATATTATTTTTTTATTTTTTAATATATTTTTTTATAAAAATTTAAAAAATTATTAAAATAACTTATTTACAAACAAGGCCTAAATCTCGATGTAGTTTTGGTGTCGTTTGAGAAGAATTTATTTGGGCTCTTTTGGCTTTTTGAGTCACAAAAGACAGAATAGGCTATTTGAGTCACAACAGACAAAACATTACATCCAACTTATAATCATTACACTCTTCTCTCATAAAAAAAGTCAAAAAGTCAAAAAATTCTTCCCAAACTAAGTTTTTTAGCCCAGACTCAAATAGTCAAAAAAGTTAAAAAGTCAAAAAGTCAATCAACTTCTCAAACGGAGGCTAAAATCAACCATGTAGCCATGACAATAGTTCTTAACCAATATGACGATAGATATGATTTAAGAGGCGTCAAAGATAGAGACAAAAATGATTAAAGAAAAATTACAATCAAGTCATCTTACGTTAATAAACGATTTGGAGTGTTAGGATTATAACCATATTTTGTACCTTTATCTCAAAACTTTTCTTTATTCTTTTAAAATTTTAAATCTTATACTAATAAACAATATTTTTGTGTCAGAACTTTAACGCAAAGATGTAAAGGGATATATGCTTAATTTATTCAATTTAAAATTACAACAAATTTGGTGGAAACTCAAGGCATTTTTATAACTAAGTTTAAAGATTTATGTTTATATTTAAAAAAAAAGTTTGCATATTGCAAATGAAAACTCAAATGGTATATATTTTTGTTATTAAAAATTTGTAAATAATTTATAAAATTTACTAATTTCATACAACTATAAAATGTTAATTTCACTTGTTCAGAATAAAGAAAATAAAATAAAATAAAATTAGTTTATCTGCTTTCCCATCACTAATCGCCCACGACCGCATCTGATTACCATAACGAATAACCTCCGTGACCATGGCACTGCTGATCACCTCCCACAAGAGGCAACAACTATATTTCAATCATCACGTTACTTTCAACCACGATCTTCAATTGTGTCTCTAACACTTAGGTTAAGTTTGACATATATAAAATATATATTTTTTTTTATCGCATTACCTCTCTATTTTTTTATACATCTTTACATAAAAAGATAAAAAGTGTAGTCATCCCAAACAACCCCTTAGCCACCATATATAATTGTTGACAATATGGCATCACTTTTTTTTGATAATTACTTTTTCTAACCACTTCTTACTAGCCACTACTCACACCTTTAAAATGCATGTTTTTTTATAAAATTTTATAATAAATTATAAATATTTCTCTGAAATTTACTTAAAATACAGATTATTCCTATGCATTAATGTAAAAAAATGGACCGCGGCCTATGGGTGGCCCGAACCTCGCCCGCAACTCGAGTTGGGCCCGACTCGTTTAGGTTCGGGTTCGAGCCTAATCTGAGACCTTGGACTAGGGCTTGCACTATCATTTTAAAGTCCATCCTGCCCTGTGGGCCTGACTCATCGGCCCGCTTAAGGCCCACTCAAGGCGAAGGCCAAGGCTTAGTATTTTTTTTAGTGAAAAATAATAAAATATTGATAATAAATAAATAACAAAAAAATTTGTTCAGGCCCGCCCAACTCGGCCTTAAGCCCCCGCCCAATGCCCGAATGCCTTTGGGTCTGGGCCTATTTTTCTAACCCATGGGTCGGCCCGACCCACTTCCCCTGGAGCCCGTAAGGCCCGCCATGGGCTGGGCCCGGCCAAGCCAAATTTACACTTATACTCCTGTGATTTTATAAATTACAAATACTCTCTTATCATAATTTTTTTATTTATCAGATAGATTTAATGGAATTCATAACTATTCTCTTATACAATAATAAAAGGGATTTTTATTGATAAATCTCATTTAGAAGTGTTTTAACCTAAGAAGTCCATGAATGAATTTTTTAACCCATTTAATTCTATGTATGTATAGTTTTATTCTATAAAGTTATTTTCCTTGATTTACACTATTTTCTTGAACACTTATACCTTTATATTTAATTTTGATACCCTTATAAATATTTTTTGAACGGTTAGCAATTTTATGATGTGAACATTCATATTTTTAAATTCACATTGGTATGAATGTAAAATTGGCCCGTGGGCGGCCTGAAACCCGCTCATGAGTTGGGCGGGCTCGGCCCGTTGACAATGAATATTCACATTGACGTATTAACATTCACATTAATAGGAGTGTAAAATTGACCCGCGCCTGTGTTTACTGATAACGCCACTGATTACTGCTAAACTGAGACTGATCATGATAAGTAACTGAATCGATTGAAACTCTGAGTTAATTGATTGAGTGTAGTAGTTTAAGTGCATGTCTATCTATTTGACTGTTAAATTATCTGTTCATGTATTATGTTTAAATTGCAAATTGAAGGCCTTATCGGCGGCCGAATCCGAAATTGATTAATGTTTTATGCTAATTGGAATTTATATGATTTTATGGTATATTTAATTGAAATGTGATTTGGTTTGGGTAAATTAGATTAATTACTGATAAATTACACTAGTTAGCTTATTTATCCTTTTGCCATTAAATGGCCATTCCTACAACTTTGACTTAGGCTCAATTGTTGTATTACAAACACCATCTCACCCTTTTCCATCTAGAGCTAGCCGACTAGAGAGAGAGAGATAGGAGATAGAGTGATTTTCATCTTGTTTTGGCTTGGAGATTAAGAGATTTGAAGGCAAATTGCATAATTGTGCTTCTACATTTGAAATTGGGAACCTAGGTAAGGATTTCATCCTTTTAATTATGAAATCAAGTTGGTTCTTGCATGATTCATGGTAGATAGGAGCCTAAGGTCATAAATTGGTCTTAAATTGTTGAATTAAAGCTTGTATCATGCGTGCATGTATATATCTTGAAGTTTAGAGTTGTTTTCATGGAAATTCTTGTATGCATGTCCATATTTGGGTTATAGTCCATGAATTCATCATGTTTGGGAGTGAATTAACTCATTTGATCTTGTTTTGGAAGCTTTGAAATTGAGTTTTGAGCTTGAGGTTTAAATCTGGAAATTTCAGATTTTGGACTCACGCTCGAGCGAGGAACTCCACGCTCGAGCGTACGCCTTGTGTTCATGCAGTCCGCTCGAGCACGGAAATTGGCGCTCGAGCGTAAAATGCCTGTATCCAGTACTTTGCATGTGTTTGCAGTCCGCTCGAGCGAGAGAGTTCACGCTCGAGCGGGGACTTGTGTCTCACGCTCGAGCGTGGATCGAGCGCCCGTCGAGCGTGATTTTTGTGCATCCAGTATTTTTACTGTAGCTTATAGTCCGCTCGAGCGATGAAAGTTACGCTCGAGCGAAAGCTCCTTTGTCTGCATGTCCGCTCGAGCGTAGAAAGCCACGCTCGAGCGAGACCCCTGTTTTCTGAAAATTCTGGAAAGTGTTTTAAAGTGCATCTTTGCATCCTCATTCCATCTTATGCATTCCTAGGCCTAGTTTAAGACATCTTAATGAGGATATTGATGTAGAACCACACCGAGGCAAATTAGGGATTAAGTTATTATTTTCCCAACTGTGTAGCTTAGTGTGTGTTCATTCTGAAACTGTAGGGTTGGCATCCGAGGACGCTCTAGCTGCTTATAGCCTAGTACTCTGTGAGTAACAATGTTGTAAAGATATGTTCAATTGAGATTATTTTCTGAACAAATGACTGTACTGCTTTATGAAATGACACTGTTTACTGAATGAATGTTTGTCCTATTTGTGAACTATATTCGTGGCATCCATAGCAATTTACTGTTACTAAACTGTTATTGTTATTGTTACAGAGATCTCTGTCGGTTCCCACGTTTGGAACCACTACTGTTTACTGATATAATGGCCATCATTGACTGCTCGGTCTGTTAAGACCTACTATACTATTTTGCTATTGGATGTACCATATATGACTATTATAGTTTCTGAATGACTGTTATGGCATAAATTATGAGCCACAAACTGAATGAATGATATACTGATAAATGACTGTTTTCAATACTAAAAGGACATTCATTCTTAACCTCTTTACGCATATGTTATTCATTGGGCTTTAGCTCACTGCTTATATATATATATGTAGGTGTACAGGCACCAGACCGTTGCTAGGAGTGTCGGGCTAAGCTTAATTTTTGTCAAGCTAAGCAATGTGCCTCACTGTGAGGTTCCAAGTGCTGCCAAGCTAAGGCTGCTTCGGGGTGTTTTAGATTCCCCATTTATGTA